TCCAAACAAAATTAGGGAATGTGAGGTGGCTACAAAAACAGCTTAGAGAGGGTATACAGTCATGGGCTGCTCTTTGCTCAAAGCTGGTGCATCAAAAGTGAACTGAGCTCAGAGTCCTTCCACCCTCATCCTCTCCTCCTTTAACCTTTTTCCTTTAAGCCAGTGGTTCTCAACCTTCCTAATGCCGCAACCCCTTAATACAGCTCCTCATGTTGAGATGACCCCCAAACCATAAAATTATGTTTGTTGCTACTTTATAACGCAAATTTGCGATTGTTATGAATTGTAATATAAGTATCTGATATTCAGGATGCATTTTCATTCACTGGACCAAATTTGGCACAAATATCCAATACTTCCAAATCTGAATACTGGTGTGGTTATGGGGATTGATTTTGTCATTTGGGAGTTGTAGTTGCTGGGATTTATAGTTCACCAACAATCAAAGAGCATTCTGAACTCCACCAACAATGGAATCGAGCCAAACTTAGCACACAGAACCCCCATGACCAAGAGAAAATACTGGAAGGATTTAGTGGGCATTGACCTTGAGTTTTGGAGTTGTAATTCACCTACATCCAGAGAGCACTGTGAACTCAAACAATGATGGATCTGGACCAAACTTGGCACAGATACTCAATATGCCCAAATGTGAACACTGGTGGAGTTTGGGGAAAATAGACCTTGACATTTGGGAATTGTAGTTACTGGAATTTCTAGTTCACCTACAATCAAAGAGCATTCTGAACCCCACCAATGATATAATTGGGCCAAATTTCCCACACGGAACTCTCATGACCAACAGAAAATACTGTTTTCTTATAGTTTTTGGTGACCCCTCTGACACCCCCTTGCAACTCCCCCCCCCAGGGGTCCTGACCCCCAGGTTGAGAAACGCAGCTTTAAACACTATCATTTTCTTAAGGGAATCATCTTCCTGTTGCCATTGTTAAGCATCTGATGGTACAAAATCCCTGTAAAACTTCTGCAGAGTTATCAGATATTTACCAGTGAGTTTTGATCTACCATCTGACCATCCTTCCTTTCTGTTTAAACCAGAGGAACTTTGGGGTGTACACTGTTTTTGTTGTTTTTCCAGAGCCTTGATATTCAGTATCCTTAGCCTAGTATAGGAAACATTTGCAGAATCAAAGAATCTTGAGTTTGCTTTAAATCCTGCTCCTAAATGAATATTACAGTCCTACACAAAAATCTATCCCTTGTTATCCAAGCTTTCTTCATTTCAGCAAGATAATTGAGAGTGGGTTGAGAGCCCTTTTATTACTGCTATCACTGTCGTATTAAAATTGGGACTCAGAATGTGTGCCGGTGGAGAGTAAGCCCAAAAATGCAAACTGTATTAACGTCTCAAGACAGGCAAACCCAAATAAAGAACTGATTAGATTATGTTTGCAGCAGAAGACACTTCAAAAAAAGGGGGGGGGATACAAAAGGAGCAGAAGGGAGTAATTAGATGTTTGTTCTTCCCTTTTCTCTCTGTTCACATTTGTGTGTTTGTGAGAAAACTGTTGACTTCCTGTCTACTCCTCATTTTTACTTCTCTCTTGGGAGTTTCTGGCAAAACAGTGTGTTTAAAAAAACCCTCTCCAATCCCATCAGGACTTTTTAAAAAATCTTTTAACTTTCATGTTCCTGCTTCTTTGTGTCATTACTTAACTCCCTGTGAGTAGTTAGGAGATCCATAAAGACATTTCAGCTATCATACATTTGAGATCTATACTCTGTGGTACTCCAGAATCAAACAAAATACTGTAATAGCTAAAGATTTTTGTTGGTGTGGTAGGCGAGCAGTAGCTAATCTATAGGACCTGTTCAAAAAATCCATTCAAGGTGTTATCTGTGAGTGTCATTAAAAGTTATTGACCTAGTTCTCCACTCTTCCACTTTTCAGCACTGGGGTGCCATTCATTGTGGCAAAGGCACTATTGTAGTGGCAAATACATTCTTGAGCAATGGGGCAAGTACACGGATGTCCCTGACAAAGCCCTGTGTAAATAAACCCTCGGGAAGGAGTCAAGCCCTCACTTCCAGCCGCAAATAGGCTAGTATATTTGACACCACAATAGCAAGATTTTCCCTCTCTCCAAGTCAGATGCCCCAAAACCTTGGGCTTCTGTTGAATCAATCAGTCTCATGCCAGCTGAATCTTCACACGAAGACAACTCAGGAGAAGCCATAACTCCAACATTTCATTACTGGTGTAGCAAAAATATTTATACTGTAATATAGATAATGTAAAAGCTTTGCGTCGTTAATTTCCCATATACATAATCAGGTGGGCAGATCATTACTGTCCTTATTTTGAGAATAAGAAATAATACCAGTCACTGCTGCCCTTTATTGATGCCATTCCCCATTTTACCTGAAGAGTATGATTATACAAATGCAATTATTTAATACTATTTATTTATTTATTGTATCAGGAACAAATGAATGTATTTGAGAAAACACAACGTTTAAGAATTTGGCATTATATTAAATGTCCTTTGACCAGAAGCTGGCCACTTCAAGTGCCTCTGGTGTTGCTATAAGAAGCAACTGGATGAACAAACAACAACAATCATTTTGGTTTTATTAAACTCCTGTAGGAGTTTAATATGTGAAGCAGATACTTTACATGCGTGTTCAACCTGCATGACCTCCAGTTAAAACAAATTTATCAGAATGCGTAGGACAAATGCAACTGGGCTAGACTGACCAAATGGGAAGTTCAGCCCAAGACAATTTGCTGAGTGATGCAAAAGATAAAATGATACAATTCTCTTCCATGTACAAAAGGAGGCTGGACTGACATCTCAATCTTACTTCAACACTGACAGTAGGATGGCATCCTCTGGTACTCTTAAAGCTTGTTTGACAGCTTTACTTGGTTGAAGGGCAAAAGACATGGTATGGCATCGCACCAAAGGAAGTAGGTAGGAGACATGGTAGAACAGGTGTGTGACTGCCACTTCTGACTCTCAGCATCTGCCACCTGAGATAGTATCCTTGTTCTACCTAAGGATGGGACCGGGCCAAAATAAACCCAATTCCATATAAAGTGCCACCAAAGAAGACTATCAATAGCGCTCAAACTGTAAAAGAGAACTCAGTGGCAGCCAATTAATGCACTTGAGTGGTCGTTATAAACCTAGGCCTAGGCCTTGTTTTCCTAAGATCAATGCTTTTGTTCATGATATTTCAGTTTGATATTCCTCTTTCCTGGAACTGCCAGCTTGATAGTGTTGTCTTTTCCCTGACACACAAAATTTCCTATCCACATTCAAGAAAAGTTTATCTGATTTTTAAATGTCAAGTGTTTCCGAGCTTGTTGTTGTTATGTGCCTTTAAGTCGTTTTCTAAGTTATGGCAATTGTAAGACATACCTTGGCAGGGTTTGCCTTTGTCTTCTTCTGAGCCTGGGTGAATGTGACTTAGCCAAGGTTTCCTTGGGTTTCATTCTGGAATCAGGATTTGAGCTGTGGAGTGAATCTACACTGTAGAATTAATACATTGACACCACTTTAAGATCCATGGCCCAGTAGTGTGGAATTGTAGTTTTACAAAGTCTTTAGCCTTCTGTGCCAAAGAGTACTGGTGCCTCATCAAACTACAACTCTCATGAGTCCATACCATAAAGCTCTGTCAGTTAAAGTTGTGTCAAGATGCATTAATTCTATAGTTTAGATGCATCCCTGGTCTCCAGAGTCATAGTCCAATAATGAAACTACTATGCCATGCTGTCTCTCATGTCTGGAATAGTTCTCTGAAACTGGTCAAGGAGAGTCTAAACTCCCTGACCAACTAAAGAAAAATAAAGCTATCACTAGGTTAGGTTCTTGTGGGTTTTTTTCGGGCTATAGAGCCATGTTCTAGAGGCATTTCTCCTGACGTTTCGCCTGCATCTATGGCAAGCATCCTCAGAGGTTGTGAGGTCCTATCACTAGGTTGTTGTAGGTTTTTTGGGCTATATGGCCATGTAAACCTACAACAACCTACAAAAAACCTACAACAACCCAGTGATTCCAGCCATGAAAGCCTTCGACAATACAAAGCTATCACTTCCCTTGTCTTTCTGAAGTAAAGTTCTCTAGATGTGGCAGTGATCTTTCAAAAGCAATATGTTCATTTTCTTTTCGTAGACAAGCAGTTGAGGGGTATCCAGCTATTTTGGAACTGTGGCAGCAGCTCTATTTTGAAATAATTTCTTTGGGGGTGCCAAAATATTGGCAATAAACCTGTTCTCAGCAATGTTCTTAACTTGCTATAATTTACTTTACATGAAAATATACAATATCCTTAATAGTGAAAAGTGTTTGTGCGTGTGGCTCAGATACAAGTGTTAGTCCTAGGTAACCTAATGGTACTTAGTCAGCTCTGAGCACTTACATACCTCTAGTTCAGTGGTTCCTAACCTGTGATTCATGGACCACCAGTGGTCTGCAAGAACAAAAATATAGTGCGCGGCCTCACCATTACTACACCATTGCCTTGAAACCATGCAGCAATGGGAGTGACTGGTCTGGCAAAACCCTCTTATAGTGCTGCGACAACAGGGATGTCAAGAGGGGAGAAGCTACTAGAGCTGATGTGGTAGATTACTACTACCACATCAGCTCTAGATTATTAAATATGGTTTTGGTGTGGGCGAGCAGATGGCAACTCCTAGATGGCATATGTTCTGTATCAGAAACTAGAGCTGATGTGGTATTTCCAGTGCAATTTTCTGAATCAACACCCCAAATAACCAAACCAAATCTAAAGTTGAGCAAAAACTGATTTGTAACCCTTTTCATACTAATATTGGAGAGTGGTCCCTGATCAAAGTGGTCCCTGGTCAAAAAAAAAAAAGATTGGGAACCACTGCTCTAGTTGGATTCTTTGGGTCTGCCTCTAGTTGGAGCTAGCAACTTGATATAGGCCTTGAAATATAATTCCTTTTCCAAATACATTGTGTGTCTTTCTCTCAAAAATGTTCTCTCTTTTGCTTTTCTTTAAAGCCACATCGCCCATCAGAATAATTTTCGTGTCTGCCCCTATTTTGTCGGTCATGGGATAGGATCTTACTTTCATGGGCATCCTGAAGTTTGGCATCATGGTAAGAAAGCCCCTCCATGATCTGTTCCTCGTGCTTGTGTCTTAGTAACTAACTACACCATCAGGGGATGATGTGAAAGCTGAAATAGCTATCACAGCCGAAATGCAGAATCCTGCTCTCAGCTTTTCTGTTGCTTGCTTGATTTCACTATTAAGCTCTGGCAGGATAGCACATCAAATGGAGCACATGGATGCATAAACCAGCCTCACTTTCTCCAGATAAAACCTTTGAATGCTAAGGCCCGATAACATTGGTTTTCTTCCTGCTGTGTCAGCTGAAGTATTTCAACTCTTACTGCTACATCTACTTAAGTAAACTGTTGCCTTCATAACAACTCATGCCACCACAAACACTCTGAACTTCAGGATGGCAGAGCCCGCATTACAGGATTGCTGGCTGTTTCCAGCTTAACATCAATCTCTCTAAAATCCCAAGTGGGGTCAGGTGAATTTGAACATTCCCTAGTATGTCAAAATGGCTTTATAAATAGGGTGCAATTTAGGAGTCTTGCCTCCTCACCAAGCAAACCTCTGTGTGGACAGTTCTTGCTTTTTGGGAGAACTGGAGAGAGCATATAGGACTCGTTCACCCTCAGTGGAAAAGTAGCAGGGGTCTTATACCACCTGAAGAGCTCCCACGTTTTATTTGACAGGCTTTCATGGACTGTAGTTTGCAGATCTTAAATTGGGCATGTGATATTGTAGGCTGCACTTCGTGAAAGCAGGTGCCAAATAAAATTTGCACTAAAAGCACTAGATCCCATCTTATCTTGGAGGCTAAGCAAGACCAGCCCTGATTTGTATTTAGATGGGAGATCACCCACCAAAAATTAACAAGTGCCGTAGACTAAGGGCCCTTCCAGACAAGCCCTACATCCCAGGATCTGATCCCAGATTTTCTGCTTTAAGGTGGATTAAATGAGTCCACACTGCCCGATAATCTGGGATAAATAGAGAACCTGGGGTTAGTTTCTGGGATATAGGACCTGTCTAGAAGGGCCCTACATTTCAGAGGAAGGAAATAGCAAACCACCCCTGAGGATTCCTTTCCTAGGAAAACCCTATGATACGACCATAGAGTTGCCATAAGTCAATAAGTGACTTGAGGGCACGTATAGACTTCTTCTGTCCCCTCTCCCCAAAGAAACTTTGTCAGCTGTGAAAGAGTGTATTGAGAAGCCTTTGAAAGTAGCTTCCTGCCACAAGGTTATTCAGAAGCTCCTTTTCTGATAGGACATTAAATAGCACCCAACCTCTTTGTTATCTTGTTACCTTTTCATGTGGGATTTGTGAAAGGACTGAAGCAACAGTAGTGCCTCTGACCTCTATTACTTTTTTTTTTAAGTGTCAAGACCGACTTGAGAAACTGCAAGTCACTTCTGGTGTGAGAGAATTGGCTATCTGCAAAGATGTTGCTCAGGGGACATCCGGATGTTTTGATGTTTTACCATCCTCCGGATGTTTTGATGTTTTACCATCCTCCAGCATGGGGAGCTGGAGCTAATAGAAGGAGGTCATCCATGCTGTCCCCTGATTTGAACCTTTGAGACCTGTCAGTTTTCACTCATGCTGTCACAAGGGTTTAACCCATTGTGCCACCGGGGGCTCCTGCCCCTTTTAATAATACAGAAAGACACACTGCACACTGCACTTACTTTACAATCCTACATTCCTCCCGCCACATCAGCACTTTTAATCCTGTACCCACTACTCTGGCTGGCCCAGTTTTAATAGTGTCTTGTTGTATTGTTACTGTTATTGTTTTTTCTGCTTAACTGTTTTGAATTTGCTTTAGGTATTGTATTGTTGTATTGTGTTTTGGGGCTTCGGCCTGTGTAAGCTGCATCGAATCCCTTGGGAGATGCTAGCGGGGTACAAATAAAGTAATAATAATAATAATAATAATAATAATAATAATAATAATATGACCTTACACATTTTTGAGGGGGATTTCATGCAAAGAGCTAAGACAAAAAGGAGCATGAATAGCGAAGAACCCAAAGTAGTTCCTAGTAATTTGACTGTACCACTCTCCCCACCTCCTAAAAAAGATAGCATTTTAGCTTCTTTGTTTTGCTCTGAAGTCAATCCCGTTTATTACTTCTGTCTAAGGGGAAATGCTGAGCAAGAATTGGGGGTACACATTTGTTCCGCTCCCTAGAACTGGCATGTCTAGTTTTAGTTTTGCTTTTGTGTGTTTTTGAATAAAACACTTTTTATATTAAAATTAAAACCCATTGTCTCCACCCTTCTCCCTTTAAATTATCACATAATTTGATTTGTAAATGGTGTATTTCCTGTCTTTTGCTCACTCCCATAAAAACATTGGGGTGTTGTCTGCATTGTTTGCTGGTATTTTAATATTTATTTTTTTCCTGAATGTTTTGTTAGTTCATGTACAGGTGTAATACTACATTAAATGTTTACAGCATTCATGTTCTTAACACTAGCAATCCAGCAAATAACCAGGAAAGGGAACAAACAACAACAAACAAAGGAAAAGTAAAGATTAACAGTAAACATTGGGCTAGGAGGAGGGAATGTTTCGTGGTTAAAAAAACAACCCTTATTTTGAACAGAGTGTGTTCTCTTATAAGAGACTTTTAGCATGCTTTTGTTGGTCTAAAAGGGCCATATCCCAAGCCTGAAGCAGGGGCTTTTGAGCTGCTGCTTTGAAGCTTTGGAAACCCTCAGCCGCGCATGTGGATGGGAGTTGTTCTTCATCCCACAAAAATGCAAAAGAGCAACAGTTTGGATGTGACACTATAAATTATTGTGTTCTTTTTGTGATTGATAAAATATTTTGCTTTGTTTTGCAGAAAACAGAAGTGATTTGTTAATGCAAGAAGGCATGGCGTTCACAATAGGTTAGTTCACGTTTGATCCTGAAGTTGAAGGAATCTGGGAATACTTTTCTTAGGACCTTTGCTGAAGTTAAGAGTTTATACAACATTTTTGTTCAACTATTTTGATAATTTTCACAGACTGATAGGACTGTATGCCTTTATTTCTTGGAAGGGATTATTTCATCTGAGGCTCTTACCATTTCCCAGTCCCATTATTAAACACTAATCCAGCTGAAGTTTGTGGGGTTTTTTTAACAAGATCAGAAATGTTGAAGCCTATTAAGGACCTCTGATAGTTAGCATTTTTGTTACTCAGACATGAAGGACTGAAACACCATAGCTTTTTAAAAAAGCACAGTTGCATTGTTTAGGCCTGAATCCTTCTAGCGAGTTAAACTGCTGAGCTGCTGAAATTGCTGACCAAAAGGTCAGCAGTTCAAATCCAGGGAGTGGCGTGAGCTTCCACTGTCAGCCCCAGCGTCTGCCAACCTAGCAGTTTGAAAACATGCAAATGCAAGTAGATCAATAGGTAGTGCTCCATTGAGAAGGTAACAGCACTCCATGCAGTCATGTTGGCAACATGATCTAGGAGGTGTCTATGAACAACACTGGCTCTTTGACTTAGAAATGGAGATGAGCACCACCTTCCAGAGTCAGACACAACTAGACTTAATGTCAAGGGAAAACTTTTACACAATAGCCCTATGGAGTCAACCACTTGAAAGTAAAATAATTAGGAATAAAGAAATGAAAATATCTCAGGCTGCATCGATCGACACCATAGAAATAATGCAGTTTGACACTACTTGAACTGCCAAGACTCGATTCTATAGAATCCTTGGATTTGTAGTTTGGTGAGGCACCACTGCTAAAAGCTAAAGACTTGGAAAACTACAACTCTTACGACTCCATAGCATAGAGCCACTGCAGTTAAAGCAGTGTCAAACTGCATTTGTTGTACAATGTAGATGCACCCCCAATCCTTGAAGTTTGATGAGGGATTTGAGGAGAGCTCCCTTTCCAAGAAAGATGCCATTCCCAGATTCATCTCCCACCCTTCCCTCCAACACAGTGGTGTCAAACTGGTGGCCCTCCAGGCATTTTGGACTTCATCCCCCAGAATTCCTGGCCATTGAATAAGCTGGATAGGATTTCTGGGAGTTGGAGGCCCAAGCACTCAGAAAGCCACAACTTTGACACCTCTGCATCCAACACAACATCTCCAAAAAGAAAGTCCTTCTCTGGCCTAGCAGAGCCTAAGAGTCTTACTCTGTGAGGAGTAGCCAATCAGCTATCTCCTTCTGGAAGATTGACCAGATCAAGCACCAATCACAAAAGGTTTGAAAAGGGGTGGGTAAAAATGTATTCCTCGCTCAGGGGTGCCTAAATGGCTGGGCAATTAGAGGGAAATAAGAAAATTGTTGTTTTGCTGACTTAATGAAAATTTAAAGAATGTTAAACAAAATACACACAACAACATTCAAATATTTCCATTTCCCCCTTGCTCTTTGGAGGGAGGTAGCTGATATTTGGGTCATTATTTGTGATCCATTGGGATATTAATTACAGCTTGATTGGAATGCCCTTCTTCCATTTCTTAACCCTCAGTTTTGATCCTGGGAGGTGTGTCGCGTTTCCACCTCAGCAAAGTCGCTCAAAAGAGAGAAAGAAGGGTACAGGTGAAGACAAATTTCCCCTGGGGTACAGTCTAAAAGCAGTGCAGCCTGACACCACTTGAACTGCCATGGCTCAAAGCTACAGACTCATGGGAGTTGTAGTTTGGTGAGGCATCAACATTCTTTTGGCAGAGAAGGCTAAAGAAAGATGTCATAACATTACAACTTGTGTGATTTCATAGCCCCCAGTGGCGCAGTGGGTTAAACTGCTGAGCTGCTGAACTTGCTGATCAAAATGTTGCAAGTTCGAATCTGGGGAGGGGGTGAGCTCCTGCTGTTAGCCCTAGCTTTTGTCACCCTAGCAGTTCAAAAACATGCAAATGTGAGTAGATCAATAGGTACTGCTCCAGCGGGAAGGTAACAGCGCTCCATGCAGTCATGCCGGCCACATAACCTTGGAGGTTTCTATGGACAATGCCGTCTTGTCGGCTTAGAAATGGAGATGAGCACCAACCTCCAGAGTTGGACTCAACTGGATTTAAGTCAGAGGAAAACCTTTACCTACGATTTCATAGCACTGAACCAGGGCAGGCAAACTGAGTTAATTCTACAGTGTAGATTCACCCCTGAACAACCTGAAATTTTGAAGATGGGAAAGAGGGGCATTTCAGGCCCTGAACCAATCCTTGTTTTGTGTTCTGACAGAACCCATCATCATGGAAGGAACATCTGAGTTCAAAATCTTGAGGGACAAATGGACGGCCGTCTCCTTGGACAATAAAAGGTACTGCTGTTGGATTTAACCAATTTGTATTGAAGGAGGGAAGACTTGAGGTGGTTTTGTGGGAAGGGAGAGGCTGGGAGGTCTTTTCCCCCTCCATCTCTTTCTTCTTTGCTTCCCTCAAATAAACAAACAGGCCTCTTCTTGGGTGCCATCTCTATCCCTGGTTGATATAGCTGCCTTTTCCCCCTTGTCTTTCAGGTCAGCCCAGTTTGAGCATACTCTTGTCATTACACCCGGTGGTGCTGAAATCTTGACCCACCTGCCCGAAGAGGAGGTTTGAGATCCATTTCCACCCAAAAGTGCACCTTCTGCTGATCTCAAAACAAGGGGAGGAAAATGACCTTGTGTGGGCGAAATCTTAGTAACAGCTTTGAAGGACATTTCTTAATGGATGGAGCCCACATCTGAGGGGGAAGGCACCATCTTTCTTCCTGGCAGTGACTCTACCTCAGGGGGGAAAAACTTGCAGGGGGGTCATATTCTTCAATGAACTAAATCACCTCAGAATGGGTGGCACCCTTTTTGGCTCTTAAAGGACTGTGGGGTATACATAAACCCTCTTCCTCCATTTTGTTATACTTCACAAGGCAAATTTTGTATGTGCCTCCTATTTCCCGCTCCCTCCCATGATGGGCAAGAAGAAAATTCCCTATATTTGGAGGAGAGAGAGAGGTTAAAGTGAAAGCCGGGGTCTCAAAGCCCCTTTCCAGGCCAAATAAAGCCAGGCCAACACCTTGTGCGTGTTTTTCTTCCTTTCTGTCTTTCTCAAGGATATGTGAGGGTCTCGTTGGGAAAAAAAGGTCTGGCTCACCAAACTACAACTCCCAGGACCTCTTAGCCTTAAGTCATAGTGTCAAATTTCATCATAGATACACCCTTAGGTTTACAGTGAGGTTGTGTGTGTGTGTGTCAGGAACAACTTGAGAAACTGCAAGTTGCTTCTGGTGTGAAAGAATTGGCCATCTGCAAGGATGTTACCCAGAAGGTGCCTGGATATTTTACCATCCTGTGGGAGGCTTCTCTCATGTCCCCACATGGGAAGCTGGAGATGACAGATGGGAGCTCACCCTCCTCCCAGAATTGAACTGCTGACCTTTTGGTCTTGCACCACCAGGGGTGCCTACAGTGAGGTGCTACCCAGCACTTTGGGGATACAAGACCATATAGCTTACCTGTCCAAATATATCTCCTCCTATGAACCATCTAGGAGCTTAAGATCGTCTGGGGAGGCCCTGCTCTCAATCCCGCCTGCCTCGCAAGTGCAATTGGCAGAGACGAAGGACAGGGCCTTCTCAGTGGTGGCCCCCCAACTATGGAACTCCCTCTCCAGGGATATTAGATCGACCCCCTCCCTCCTGACTTTCAGAAAAAAAGTAAAGACCTTGCTCTTTGAGCAAGCTTTTGAGAATGCAGCAGAATAGATAACACGGAACTATGAATGATGAACATGGAATGGCCAGACGATATTACTGGATAACGTTTTTAACAAGATGACACCGATGATTATATGCTTTAATGGTTTTTATTTCTGTTTTATATTGTAATGTTGATTGTTTTTAATCGCACTTTTATGAATGCCTGACATCGAATTGTACCAATCTGTAACCCGCCTGGAGTCGCCATATGGCTGAAAAAGGCAGGCTATAAATATCGTAAATAAATAAATATAGCTGGCTTAATAGTAAACCCCATTGAGTTCAGGGGAGAGGAATGGAAATAGGATTCGTGGGTCTGTAACCTGAAAGCCCAGCAGCCTTTGAAGTCCCTATACATCCCAATTAGAGGGTAGGGGATCCAAACGCCTTAAATCTGCACTAACTGTGGATGGGGACTCCCAGGCTATGGGAGTCCTGGGAGTTGTAGTTTGGTCTGATCCCTACAGCATTTTGCCATCTTAGTTGTATGGAATAGAAAGTAAATCCTACTCTAATGACAACATCATGAAAACTGAAATCCAGGTAGTTGTTGCAAAGTGACATTATATTGCCATGTTCCTCATCCTTGTCTCTTCACACACCAATCCTAGCAAGCAGCCAGGAGCACTAGTTGGGATGGAATCCAGGATTTCTCTAAGGTACCTGAGAAAAATGGAAGGATACTTCACACTCCCTTCACCCAAAAAAAATGATCATGGGCTGAACTGATAACGTTCTGATTTATGTTGACCCTACAGCATTGGTTCCCAACCTTTGGTCCTCCAGTTGTTTTGGACTTCAACTCCCAGATATCCCAGCCATCTTACCAGCTGCTAGGAATTGTGGGAGATGAAGCCCAAAACACCTAGAGGACCAAAAGTTGGGAACTGCTGCCCTACAGCTACCCTATCAAGGAATCATAGGACCCTATCAGGACTTTCAAAGGAGATTTGCCTTCCTTTGAGGCTGAGAGTGTGACTTCCAGGTTTCTATGACTGAGTAGGGGTTCAAACCGTAGTCTCAAAGTGATACATAGTCCAAAACTCCAAGCACTACACCGTGCAAGGCTATATCTCACATCATTTCTGGTCATTGTCTATATTGGCTGAGGCAGAGGAGCTTTGTCTAAAACATATGGGACTTAAGCCAGTTTGATCTAAGCAATGAAAAGAGAAGAAAGGGAAATGCAAGGCTTCATTTTCTCAGTAAAAACAATGCCTCTCACTCCAAAGGTGCATTACACCAGGTTGGCACTCATTCTCCTTAAACTTAGGAATTATTATCCTTGGATACAAGCTGACTTAATGTGACCTATGGGGACCCCATCACCAAACTTTGGGATCGGTTCAATCAGGCATCTGTTGCTGTTTCTGGTTTCTATCCTCGGTGTCCAGGAACCTCAAACATGCCAAGATCCCAGAGGGCTTAAGATTTGTCTCAGAGGAGGCCCAGCACCTGAACTTTGGTGGTTTCCCTCTCTCCCCTCCCAACTCAAGTTAATTTCATTAGGACCGCAGGATTTTTACCAACTGCTGTGGTAACAGCTGTTTGCTTAGCAATTAGACCTGAGGAGGTAGCATTTATGGTACACATTTATAATCCTCATTAGAAAGGTGATTGCAGAAAGGTGGAAAAACAGAGAGAGAAAGTCTACTGGGTTGCTGTGAATTTTAAGGGCTGGATGGCCATGTTCCAGAAGCATTCTCTCCTGATGTTTCACCCATATCTATGGCAGGCATCCTCAGAGGTTGTGAGGTCTGTTGAAAACTTTGTGTGTGTGTGTCAGGAGCAACTTGAGAAACTGCAAGTTGCTTCTGGTGTGAGAGAATTTGCTGTCCACAAGGACGTTGCCCAGGGGATGCCCAGATGTTTTTTGATATTTTACCACCCTTGTGGGAGGCTATTAGGCAAGTGGGGTTTATAGATCTGTGGGATGTTCTACAGTTAGGATGCCCTTAGAGCAGTGGTTCTCAACCTGTGGGTCCCCAGATGTTTTGTCCTCCAACTCCCAGAAATCCTAACAGCTGATAAACTGGTTGGGATTTCTGGGAGTTGTAGGCCAAAACACCTGGGGACCCACAGGTTGAAAATCCCTGCCTTAGCAAGAGAGAGTCGGGGGGGGGGGGGGGGGGGGGGGGGGGGTTGCGAAGGGTTCCAGATTTGTCCATCCTGAGGAAGGCCTGGGGTATGCACACATTTGCACCCTTTTCCCCAATGATCACCCCAAATACCCTGAAAGCATCAGATCAGCCTGATTGTGGAAGCTAAACAGTCAATCCTGGCTGGTACTTGGATGGGAGACAACCAACAGATACCATGTCCTGTAGACTCCATTTCAGAGGAAGGAACTGGCCAAACCACCTCTGAGTATTCTTAGCCTAAAGAAATCCTGTGGAAAATCAAGGCCTCTGTGTCCCCAATCGACCGGCAACATTTTTTGGTACCCTTGGTTGCCGAAAGGGACCCGTTTCAGAAACTAAACTATAACTGCACCATATAGTGGAAGTCAAAGAGGTCATGAGACCACCATAAAGTGACAAGAGACTCCAAGGCACATCACACACACATACAGTGCAAGTATAATCTGACACTAAATAGGTGTCAGCAATAAATCCTGCGGTAGTTAGTAAATTTATGTTTTAGATCATTAAATCAGTACAAGAGTTGAATTAGATCCCATCGCTAAGCTGGCTCAGATTTTTGAAGTTCGGACCTAAATAAGACAGAAGGGATTTGAACCCAGGACGCCCTGAGGTTCACAAAGGGTACCAGAAGGGAGGGAATAAGGCCTGTGTCCCCAACCTCCCTGCAACATTTTTGGATGCCCTTGGTTGCCTAAAGGGACCCATTTCAGAAACTAAATGATAATTGCACCACATAGTGGAAGTCAAAGAGGTCATGCTGTGAATGCCAACTACGAGGTTGAGTTGAAGGGGTTTGTCTCTGCAGAAGAGCAGAGATGGGGGTGCAGTCCTAAATATGCTTAACTGGAGCCTCACTGGGGCACATAAAGAAGGGGGGTGTTTCCTTGGGGAGTGTGACTGAGACCCCACCCACCCTGACCCTTTAATATAGTTTGAATTCAGCTTCAAACTGCAGTAGCCAGACTACAAACAACCCACAAAAAGGCACAAAAGGAAGTCTTTAATGTGCACCACTGCTTTGTGGTTTATGTCATCACCATCTAGGCCTCAAACTGATTCCTATATAAAAAGACTTCAGTGCTTAGTGTAGATGTGCCCAAAGAAACACTTGACAAGGTCTCTGCCAGCAGAGTAGGTGGCGAGGCCAAACTTTTAAGGCACCCCCCCCCCCTTTATAATCCATTATATATAAAGTTCAAAGCAGATAATCTGGGTTGTATATGGCAGTATAGAAGGGACTGGAGATTCCCCTGGAATCCTATTTTCATGGGAGAGAAGGAAAAAAAACCTCAAAGATTGAATCTACACTGCAATTTTATACAATTTGAACTGTATTAAATGACAGTGAAGATGCAGTCTAGGTTGGCATGGAGACTGAGAGGCATCATACCCCCAACCCAGCCTAACCGCCAACAAATCCATTGTGACTCTGCTTTTTAGCAATGCCTCAAAAACCAATGGAGAACTAACAACCATCTAACAAAATGTATTGTAGAAGGCTTTCATGGCCAGAATCAGGTGCATTTTCTGGGCTGTATGGCCATGTTTCGAAAATATTTAAAAACCCTAAAATCGAAACATTAAATAACGAATAACACTCCAAAACAGGGGAATCCCAGACAAGAAACAAACAGGGCCAGCTAGTCACCTCCCAACAAAGGATTCCCCCAGGCAGGAAGCAGCCAGACCTTGAAACTGCAAGGCCATTCAATGCTAATCAAGGTGTCCAATTGCAACATCCACACCTGCCTCCAACAGACGGGTTCTTCCTCCCACCCTGGACATTCCACAGATATATAAACCTAACTTGCCTAGTTTCCAACAGACCTCACAACTTCTGAGGATGCCTGCCATAGATGTGGGAGAAACGTCAGGAGAGAATGCTTCATTATTATTATTATTGTGTTGCTGATAGATAGATAGATAGATAGATAGATAGATAGATAGATAGATAGATAGATAGATAGATAGGCAAGTGAGGTTTATATATTTGTGGAATATTGCCTAGGGTGAGAGAAAGATATGTGAGTTTTTTGGACTGCATGGCCATGTTCCAGAAGCATTCTCTCCTGACGTTTCGCCCACATCTATGGCAGGCATTCTCTGAGGTTGTGAGGTCTGTTGGAAATATATTCAATGCTAATCGCGGTGGCCAATTGCAACATTCACACCTGCCTCCAACAGACAAGAGTTCTTCCTCCCACCCTGGACAGTTCACAGATATATAAACCCCGCTTGCCTCGTTTCCAACAGACCTCTGAGGATGCCTGCCATAGATGTGGGCGAAACGTCAGAAGAGAATGCTTCTGGAACATCCCCACACAGCTCGGAAAACTCACAGCAACCCGTCTAACAAAAGTCACAGTAACTTCTGCCGCTGTGCTTCCTTCCTCTCCGTCAAATCCCGCTACCTCGACCCTCCAGGAGTTGCCGGACTTTCCCCCTAGATCTGGGGCTGGATCTATATCCCAGGATCTGATCCCGGATATTCTAGCAGTGTAGGTTCAAAAATAATCTGGGATCAGATCCTGGCCATGTAGGGAAATGTAGATCCAGCAAGGATCCCTCCAGATGTTGAAGCGCATTGGGGAGGCTAGAGAAACCCCTTCCAAAGGCTGCCCACCCCCAAAAAGAAATCCCACGGATGACTTACACTCTGTGTTCCCGCGGAAAGTCTCTCTGTGGAGCGGAGAAGGCGCTGCCAACCCCTCGGAAGAGGATCTGGGGACTGAAGGGAGGCTCTGCTGAAGCGTTTGCGACCCAAGAAGGGGGCGGGAGGGGAAAGGGGTTCGATGGGTCCCCCTCTTTTGGGCAACCCCCCCCCCCTTTCCACTTCCAGGATTGGAGCGCCACCCCCCCGCCTTGGGCTGAGGCGCATGCAGGGTTGGCTTGTTTGGGGTTAGGTTTTGCCCAAACGTGGGCTCGGTTCCCCGAGATGGGGGTCCACGAATCGAGGTGGGACCGAGGGAGAAAAGGGGGGCGGGGAGAGAAGTTCAGCTCAGGCCAAACCTGGGAGAGAGAGAGGGAGAGAGAGAGATGATTTACACACACACACACATATTACACACAGAGAGAGTCTGTTTGCAAGGCGGCCAAGGGCTGAGCGCGCCGCTATTAGCGCTAAATATATGGCTAATTATGCGTATGAAAATTAAACATCAGTGTTATGCTAATGGGGCCGCCTTCAGCTGCGGATCAGGGCACTTGAGACTAGCATTTAATCACACGAATCAGTAACTAATACAGCTGCACGTGTGAACTTTCCGCGAGAGCATCACCTCCCCCCCCCCCCAAACACACTCCGCCGCCGTCCAGCATCCTCCCCTCCCTCCCTCCCCAAGGCCTACATGGCAGGAGGCAGCACTAGACGCCGCTTTCTCATTAGTCGACAGTCACTTGGGAAGGCCTGGCCCAGGGGAGACGCTGCAATCCTCCCTCGGAGAGAATCAGAGGAGAAGGGGGGTGCTGCTCGGATTCAGGACCACACTTTGGCTGGATCCACACCGCCTTATAATGTTGCTAGGAAACCACACAACACCCCAGCATAGCAAAAGGAGCCCCCGGTGGCGCAATGGGTCAAACCTTTGTGCCGGCAGGACTGAAAACCGACAGGTCCAGGGAGAGCGCGGATGAGCTCCCTCTGACAGCTCCAGCTCCCCATGCAGGGGTATGAGAGTAGCCTCCCACAAGGAGGGTAAAACATCAAAACATCCGGGCGTCCCCTGGGCAACGTCCTTGCAGACGACCAATTCTCTCCCACCAGTTTCTCAAGTCGCTCCTGACACAAAAAAAGCTTCCACCTGGAATTAATGCAGGTGTGCCATGGCGCAATGCTCTAGAAACATGGGAGTTGTGGTTCCACAAGGCCTTTCTTTAGCCTTCTCTGCCTAAGACCCCTTCCACACAGGCCTACAGAAAATCCCACGTTATTTATTTATTTATGCCATTTATATGCCACCTTTCTCACCCTGAAGGGGACTCAGAGCGGCTTACAAGATGTATATACATACAATACATTATATTATTAGCATAGTACAATTTATTTTATTTTATTTTGGTCGTGTCAGGAACGACTTGAGAAACTGCAAGTCGCTTCTGTTGTGAGAGAATTGGCCGTCTGCAAGGACGTTGCCCAGGGGACACCCAGATGATTTTGATGTTTTGATCATCCTTGTAGGAGGCTTCTCTCATGTCCCCGCATGAGGAGCTGGAGCTGATAGAGGGAGCTCATCCACCTCTCCCCGGATTCGAACCTGCGACCTTTCGGGTCTTCAGTCCTGCCGGCAGAGGGGTTTAACCCACTGCACCACCGGTACAATATCAGTATTATATATTACTATAGTACATAGATAGTACAATATCAGTATTATAAATTACTATATTGTACTATACCATTATATTGTACTATTATTAGTAATATTAAATGTAATATAAAACATATAATTATAATATTGTATTATTATTATTATTATTATTATTGGTAGTAGTATATTGTATTACATTATAATATTATAAATATTATATGTATATTATATTATATTATTAGTAAAGCAGGTGAGACAAGATGGAACTATCTTCTGAGTGTGGACTTAGGGCCCTTCCACACAGCCCTATATCCCAGAATATCGAGGCAGAAAATCCCACATTATCTGAGTCTGAACTCAGATAACCCAGTTCAAAGCAGATATTGTAGGATTTTATGGCTTGACAGTCTGGGATACAGGGCTGTGTGGAAGGGCCCCCACATTATCTGAGTGTGGACGTAGGGCCCTTCCACACAGCCCTATATCCCAGAATACCAAGGAAGAAAATCCCACAATATCCACACTCAGATATTGTGGGATTTTCTGCCTTGATATTCTGGAATATAGGGCTGTGTGGATGGGCCCTAAGAGTGCCGGTACCTCACACAACTCTAACTCCCAGCAGCCCATAGCATTGAGCCACGGGCAACTAAAGCGATGTCAAGCTGCATCCATCTTAAAGTGTAGCTGCAACCACAGAATGCTATCCCGGACGAGGCCCTAATTATTTGAGGGCCCTCCCACACAGCCAGGATATCAAGGCAGAAAATCCCACAATATCTGCTTTGAACTGGGTTATTTGAGTCCACACTCAGATAATGTGGGATTTTCTGCCTTAATATTTGGAATATGGGGCTGTGTGGAAGGGCCTTGAGTCCACGCTGCCATATATCCCAGTTCAAAGCAGATAATGTGGGATTTAATTACGTTGTGTGGAAGGGCCCTGAGATACAAATGTTCCTTTTGAAGGAACCCTGCAGAGCCCTCAGGTAGTAATTTGAAAGAATTTCAAACTTCCTACTGTTTGAGAAACTCACTTTTCACCCCGATGGAGAGTCCCCCCCCCCCCCGCTTAAAATGCGTGAACCTTTGAAATGTAAAAGTTTCCGTCCAAACCAAGCCACCCATTGAGGCGGGATCTACACTGCCCTATCCTGCCGTTTTGAGCTGTGCAATAGAGTCTTGCACACTGATCATTTAATGCAGTTAAAAACCTTGATCTCTTCAAAATTAATAGATTTCTAGGGTTCACCAAGAAACGTTTGCAAACTCCCTGTTGACAGGTAAGGAAAGCTACATTAAGATTAAGGGGGTTTGTTTTGCAAAACATGAGACACAGCATGAGAAAGGGTAAATAATCGAAGAGCTTGGGGAAGTGGACGAAAATAGAAGTAGACGCTGGCCATTTAATGCGGGTTCAACCCGGTTTCGCTGTATAATTATCTAGGAAATCCTAGAACCCTAGGCCCTGACGGTGGTGACCTAAAGTGCAGAGCAACTGAGGCGCATGCAGGACTTGCTTCCATGGGGGTGTGTTGCCTAATGCCTAGCCATTCCAGTTGGAAGCTGCCTGAAAGGATCAGTGTGGAACGAGGAAGAGGAGGCCAAGGGGGGCCTTTCGCCTGCTGGTTGTGTACTGTTCGAACTGCATCCTCTGGCCAATGGCCGCCCAATGTAATACAATTTTGCCTGCATTCTATGGCAGTGAAGTTCCAGCCAGGGAGAGCCTCAGCCCTTTGCCCTCTGCTGTGCCCGGGTTCCTGCCCCTTGATGCTGAGGCTGGTGTTGCTTTGGGGCCAAGACGAGAGGATCCTCGCCTTGCTAGAGCTGAGATGGGAAAAAGGGGTGCCCCTGACTGTCTTGGTTTTTTTTTTTTGAGGGGGGATCCTCAGTTTGGGTCTCCCCTCATTCGGCCAAGGCGCGCTGCCCTCTTCCTCCTCTTCCTCTTCCTCCTCCCCTCCCTCTTCGTCCTCCTCCTCTTCCCCTTCTTCCTTCTCTTCTTCCTCCTCTTCCTCCTCTTCCTCTACTGCTTCCTCTTCTTCTGCTTTCTCTTCTCCTGCCTCTTCCTCTTCCTCCTCTTTTCTCCCTCTTCCTCCTCTTCTTCTTCCTCCTCTTTTCCCCTTTATCCTTTTCCTCTTCTTCCTCCTCATTTTCCTCTTCTTCCTCCTCTTCCTCTTCTCTTATTTCCTCTTCTTCCTCCTCTTCCTCTTCTCTTCTTTCCCCTTCTTCCTCCTCTTCCTCTTCCTCCTCTTCTTCTCCCTCTTCCTCCTCCTCCTCTTCTTCCTCTTCCTCCTCTTCCCGCCCTCTTCCTCTTTTTCCTCCTCATCCTCCTCTTCTACCTCCTCCTCTTCTTCCTCTTTTTCATCCTCCTCTTTTTTCCCCCTTCCTTTTCCTCCTCCCCCTCCTCTTTTTCCCCTTTTTCCTCTTCCTTCTCCTCCTCCTTTTCCTCTTCTTCTTCCTCCTCCCCCTCCTCTTCTTCCTCTTCCTCCTCCTCCTCCTCCTCCTTTTCCTCCTCCTCCTCCTCCTCTCTCTCCTTTCCTTCCTCCTCTCCCTCTTCTTCTTCCTCCTCCGACGTCCTCGCCTCCGTCTCCGTCTCGCCCGGGTCCAGCCGCCGAGCCCCGAAAAGCGTCTCCGGCCAATCGGCAGCGATTCTGCCCCACGGCGGGCCAATCAGCTCTGCGGGCTCATGCATATTCATCGGGTTTGGCTGAGTCAAAGCTTTTAGGCGAGTTTGGGTAGGATCTCCGGCTCTCCACGCTTGCGACTTTTTCAAAGGAGACAAACTCCATCTTTCGATATATTTATATATTTATATCCCTTTCTATCTCTCTGTATTTCTCCCTCCCCCTTCCTTATGAATGGAAAGTGAAAAGCCCCGGGCTTCATCTTCTTAACTTGGGTCCCGAGAGGAGGGGGAGGGGGGAAAAGGAGAGAAAGAGGGAGAGAGAGCCCCCCAAAGAAGGAGGAGGAGGAGGAGGAGGAGGAGGAAGAGGCGAGAGGGACGGAGAAAGAGCCTCTGAGCGAGAGCGAGAGGCACCCAAGGCAGCGGCGAGCGATGACCATGACCAGCATGCCAGAGAGCCTGAGCAGCCCGGTCTCGGGCAAGGCGGTCTTCATGGAGTTTGGCCCTCCGGGGCAGCAGATGCCCCCCTCGCCGCTCTCCCACGGACACTACTCCATGCACTGTTTGCACGCGGCCGGACACGCGCAGCCCGACAGCTCCTACACCGCCGCCTCGTCCTTCTCCCGGCCCCTGGGATACCCCTATGTCAACTCCGGAGGAGGCAGCCACCCCGGGAACCCCTACATGAGCTCCGTCCAGTCCTACCCCAACAGCGCCAGCCTGGCCCAGGCCCGCCTCGAGGAGACAGGTACACCCGGCTTGGCTTGGCTCGGCTTGGGGGGGGGGGGGGGGGGGGGGGACAGGGGGGAGGGGGCAAGGGGAGGGGGGGAGGGGGGGGAGAGGGGCCCCCAAGACCCCCCAAGGAAGAGGCCCCGCGGGACTCAGGGAGACCGGGAAAGAAAGGCAAGAGCACGCAAACAAAGCCCCACAGAGGGGAAAGGAAGGAGACCTTCTCCAGGGAGGAAAATGAGGGGGGGAAGGGAAAGGGACTCATTCCACATGGAGGAAAAGGGAATGGGACTTTATCCTTGGAGAAAATCAAGGAAGGAGACTTTCTCCACGAAGGGAAAAAAGGTTGGGACTTTCTCCATGGAGAGAAGAAAATAATGAGACTTTCCCCATGGAGGAAATTAAGGAAAGGAGCTATCTCCATGATACGACTTTCTCCTTGGAGAAAGTTAAGAAAGGAGACATTCTCCCTGGCGAGAAGAAAAGAATGGGACCTTCTCCATGGAGGAAATAAAGAAAGGGAATTCTTTCTACACGGAGGAAAAAGGGATGTGACTTTCTCCATGGAGGGAATCAAGGAAGGGAATTCTTTCTCCACGAAGGGGAAAAGGGATGGGACATTCTCCATGGAGGAAATCAAGGAAGGGGACTTTATCTCCACAAAAGAAAAAAGGGATGGGACTTTCTCCTTGGAGGAAATCAAGGGAGAGGACTTACTTCACGAAGGGAAAAGGGAATGGGAGTTTCTTCCTGGAGAAAAGAAAAGCATGGGACATTCTCCATGGAAGAAATCAAGGGATGGGACTTTCTCTCTGGAGGGAAAAAGAGATAGGACCTCCTCCCTAGAGAGAAGAAAAGAATGGGACTTTTTCAATGGAGGAAGTCAAGGCAAAGGAGTTTCTCCACGAAGGGAAAAGGGGACAGGACTTTCTCCCAGGAGGAAATCAAGGAAGGGGGCTTTCTCCCTGGAGAGAAGAAAAGAATGGGACTTTCTCGCTGGAGAAGAGAAAGGGAAGGGTCTTCTTCCTCTGCCTCCCTTTCTTTCCCCGACCTCCAGAGAGAGAGAGAGGGAGTCCCCAGGCCTGCGGGGCTGCCGCCCTTCCCTGGATCTCGCCCACAAAGCCCCGCGGGGCCCGGTTGGCAAAACCCAGGATGGGGAATGCCTCTCCTCTCCACAGCCAACCCCCCTCCCCCCCCAGATGTGCGCCTATTAGGCTCGGCAATTATTTATTGCGTAGCGCCATAAACAATGTATGCAATTAAGGGCAATTAAACCTAAAGTGCCGCCGCCGCCGCTGCCTGTAAAAATAGCAAACTTTTTCCCCCTCGCCTCTCTTTGCGTGTTACTCCTCGGGCGATGGAGCCTGGCTCTCCTCCTCGGATGCCAAAACAGCAGCAGCAGCAGCATTGAAGCGGGTCTCTCTCTCTCTCTTCGGAGCCCTTGGGACTCAGAGGGAAGACTGAGGCAGCCCTTCTCCTCCTCCTCCTCCTCCTCCTTCTTCCCCCTCCCTTTGCCCTCAGGGACCGAGGCGGAGAAGAGCACGGTGGTGGAAGGCGGCGAGGTGCGCTTCAACGGCAAAGGCAAGAAGATCCGGAAGCCGCGCACCATCTACTCCAGCCTCCAGCTCCAGGCCTTGAACCGGCGCTTCCAGCAGACCCAGTACCTGGCGCTGCCCGAGAGGGCCGAGCTGGCCGCCTCCTTGGGACTCACCCAGACGCAGGTAGGCCGGCAGGCACCCCAAGGCTCCTCCTGCTCGCCAGGGGATAGTCCTCACGCCTGGAAACCGGGGACACTCTCCCAGGACCAAAGCGGCCTTCCAGGGCTTCCCTGGCCCCGGCTCCGCGCTTCGGGGCATCCCGCTTTTGACCGTGGAAGCCAGGCGAGGTCAACCCTGGTGGATAGTCCTTGGATAGGAGGCTGCCAATTATAATCCCAGGACCCATTGGCTGTGTTTAAGAGCAAGGAACCTGCCAAACCACCTCTGGACCTTCCTTGTCTGAGGAAACCATAGGAAATCCGTGGGGTCGCCGTAAACCCACAGGCGCACGCACACGCAGATATTTAGGAGAGGCAGGCATCATATACACACTCATATCTGTCTATCTGTCTATCTATCTATCCATCTATCTATTTATCCATCCATATATTTATCTCTCTTTCTCTCTATTTTTCTTTCTATCTTGATATCTATTTATCTTTCTTTCTATCTTCCTATCTATCCACCCATTCATCCATCCATCTCTATCTATTTCTCTATTTTTCTTTCTATCTATCTCGCTATCTATTTATCTTGCTTTCCTGCTGTCTGTATTCCTAATTTTCTATCTATCTATCTATCTTTCTATCCATGTATCCATCCATTTATCTCTCTCAGTCTATTTTTCTATCTATCATATATCTTGCTATCTTGCTATCTATCTATTTATCTTTCTTTCTTGCTGTCTATCTTCCTATCTTTGTATCTATCTATCTATCCATCTATACATCCATCTATCTCTTTCTGTCTATTTTCTATCTCTCTCTCATCTATCTATCTTGCTATCTATTTATCTTTCTTGCTATCTATCTATCCATCCATCACCCCTCTATCTCTCAATCTTGCTATTTATCTATCTATCTATCTATCTATCTATCTATCTTGCTATCTTGCTATCTATCTTCCTATCTCTCTATTTATCTATCTATCCATCCATCTCTCTTTTTCTATCTCTATCTATCTTCTATCTATCTATCTTCTATCTATCTATCTATCTATCTATCTATCTATCTATCTTCTATCTCTATCTATCTATCTTCTCTCCATCTCTATCTATCTTCTATCTTTCTATCTCTCTATCTTCCTCTTTCTCTATTTTTCCATCCCTCCCCCCTTCCCTCTCTCTCTATCTTGCTATCTATCTATCCATCCATCCCTCTCTTTCTCCCTCTCTCTCTTTCTATCCATCCATCTATCCATCTCTCTATTTTTCTATCTCTCTATTTTTCTATGTATGTATGTATGTATGTATGTATGTATGTATGTATGTATGTATGTATCTATCTATCTATCTATCTATCTATCTATCTATCTATCTATCTACCTACCTCTCTCTCTCTCTCTCTCTCTCTCTCTCTCTATCTGTTCATCTCAAATAGTCTTCTAAGTTTTCTAAAGTCGATATTATTTTAGGGCCTTTGGAATTGCCGGGAGGATCCCCGCGAGACCGACTCCCACTCTCCCCTTCACTCCAAGTGGGTCTCTGTTTACCCCATGAACAAGCCCCAGTTCTTCCTCAGGGATCTAGGCACTAAGATCTGGTTTTCGAAGGACGGCTGGTGGGTCTCATTCCCTGGAGAGGTTGACATTTTCCCAGGCCTTAGTGGGTTGGATAAGAGAAGTGGAAAAAAAACCCTTGGCCAACAACAAGCGCGCTTCTACCTCCCGTATTTTGGAATCAAAGCAAAGGACATATTAAATAACATTTGTTTATTTAAATCGCTCCCCCGTCTTATATGAAACTCGGGCGGGAAAGGCCAGCGTTTTCAGGGGGTCTCCACTGGGGAAAACGAGGGTCGCGGGATGTAGTAGTTGAACCCAAAGCATGGGGTGCAATCCTTCACCATTTCCTATCCGGATGTTGACAGTGGAACCAGTTGGGCCTGCTTCCGTTCTCAATCCAGGAGTAGGAATAGATGGTGCATGGGTGCACGTGCATGGATCTTCCCTTCGGCCTGGAAAAACCTGCATCACTTTCCTGTTGTTGTTATCATTGCTGTTATTACACTAGCCAACACCAATTTTGGTGCCACAAATGTTAGCCCTGTTCCTGGGTCTATTTGATTTCTAGGTTCCAAAAATTGCACCAGTTTTCCCTTATCGGCTCTTAATTTTGAGATACAGAACATTCCCATTCACTGGATTGCTGTGAGTTTTCCGGGCAGTCTGGCCCTTTTCCAGGAGCATTCTCTCCTGGCGTTTCACCCACATCCATGGTAGGCGTCCTCCTCCTCAGAGGTTGTGAGGTCTGAAATGGTAAAGGCACATCCAACAGACCTCACAACCTCTGAGGTTGCCTGCCATAGATGTGGGCGAAACGTCAGGAGAAAATGCTTCTGGAACAGAGCCATCCAGCCCGTTGTGAAGGTTGTCACAACCTCTGAGGATGCCTGCCGACACCGTAGATGCGGGCGAAACGTCAGGAGAGAATGCTTCTGGAAGATGACCAGACAGCCCGGAAAACTCACAGCAACCTAGTGATTCCGGCCATGAAAGCCTTCGACCACACATTCCTATTCAGTTTTCTGAATCAGCACCTCAACTAACTCCCAGGAACAGGCTTAAATACCAAGAACTATTATTATTATTATTATTATTATTATTATTATTAGTAGTAGTAGTAGTAGTAGTAGTAGTAGCAGTATGGCCTAACTTAAAAGGGGGAAAGCATCTACTGGGCATTTAAAATATCTACGTGATATTATTACTATTATTATTGGCTAATTTATAAGGGGGGTAGTAGCTATTGGACATTCAAAAGATTTAGGTGATATTATTATTGTTATTATTGGATCATTTAAAAGGGGGAAAGTCGCGATTGGACAGTTTAAAAGATTGGCATTTTAAAAGATTTTGGTGATATTATTATTGTTATTATTGGCTAATTTAAAAAGGGGGAAATAGCTATTGGGCATTTTAAAAGATGTAGGGGATATTATTATTATTATTGGCTAATTTAAAAGGAGGAAAGTAGCTATATGAGATATTAAAAGATGTAGATGGTATTATTATTATTATTATTATTATTGGCTCATTTAAAAGGAGGAAAGTAGCTATTGGGCATTATAAAAGATGTAGGTATTATTATTATTGGCTCATTTAAAAGGAGGAAAGTAGCTATTTGAGATATTAAAAGATGTAGATGGCATTATTATTATTATTATTATTATTGGCTCATTTAAAAGGAGGAAAGTAGCTATTGGGCATTATAAAAGATGTAGGTATTATTATTATTGGCTCATTTAAAAGGGGGAAAGTAGCTATTGGGTATTTTAAAAGATGTAGGCGATATTATTATTATTATTATTATTATTATTATTATTATTATTATTATTATTATTTAATTGAAAAGGGGCCGGAGGGACACGTGAAACAATTCCTCTCCAAGGAAGTTGGTGTTCTTTCCTTTGCCAGAAATTAGGCCGTGCGCCTCCCTTCCTAGGAATACGGCCCCTGCGCCCAAGAGGCCCCAAGGTCTCCATCCAGGCCAAGGGCGCCTTGGGTTTGGGTGCCGTATTCCCCCGAGTAGAGGCGCCCGCGAATCCCTTTGGGATGGGACCTTGACTGGGCCCCTGGCTCGCTTGGACTCACGGCCCTGTTTCCTTCTCTCTCTTTCTCTTGTGTGTGTGCCTGTCTGTCAGGTGAAGATCTGGTTCCAGAACAAGCGCTCCAAGTTCAAGAAGCTGATGAAGCAGGGCGGGGCGGCGCTGGAGAGCGGCGGGGTGGGCCTGGCCAACGGGCGGTCCCTCTCGGGCGGCTCTCCCCCGGGGGCCCCGGTCTGGAGCAGCCCCTCGGCCGCGGGAAAGAACTCCTCCTCCGCCTCCTCGGCCGCCGCCGCCTCGGGCGCCTACATCCCCAGCTACACGTCGTGGTACCCCTCGGCCCACCAGGAGACTCTGCAGCAACCCCCGCTCATGTGAGCCGCCGCCGCCGCCGCCGCCGCCGCCCGGGCCTGCCCTCCTTCCTCCTGCCCTTTCTTTTCGGCCTGGCTTTCTTTCTTGGGCGGCATGGACGACGCTTCTCTAGGGGTGTGTGTGAATTTTTTAACGAGAGCACGGACTCGATTCCCATCCCTGAACAGATGCCACGCGGGGCCGGTTCCCACCGGAGACAGATGCCGCAGCGGGCCCGAGGGAGGCCTCGCCAGCAGGGCGACTGGCAGGAAGAGCCCTCCCCACACGCCTCCCTCTGCCCAACAGCCGCGGACTGGGAGGGAAAGGAAGGGAAGGGACTCTCTGGCGGGACCATCCGGAGGAGCCACGCCGCCCGCCCGGAACAGATCTCTGTGTGGAAAGAGGACACGAGGGGGAAAGAGGGAGGAGGGCCTGCCTGTCTGTCCGTCTGTCGTGTCTGTCCTGATGAAATGTAGGTCATTCCCTCCCCAGTTGTCCTGTGGCCTCCCAGAAGGGGAAACCCGCCACGCCACCCTCCCTTCTCCTTCCCGTCCCTTTTCATTTCTCTTCCCTTCCCTTTCCCTTTCTTTTCCTTCCCTTTCCCTTCACTTTCACTTCATTGCATTTTCTTCCCTTTCCTTTTTTCCCCTGTCTTCCCATCCCTTTCCTTTTCTCTTCCTATCCCTTGCCCCTTTCCTTTCCTTATCTCTTCCATTCCCTTCCTTTTTCATTACTCCCTTCTTTTTCCCTTTCTCTTCTCATCCCTTCCCTATCCCTTTATCTTCCGTTCCCTTCCCTTTAACTTTCATTTCCCTTTCTTTTCCTTTCCCTTCTCTTCCCTTTCTCTTCTTTTTCATTTCTCTTCTGTTCCCTTCTTTTTCCTTTCCTTTCCTTTTTTCCCTTCTCTTTACTTTCTCTTCCCTTCTCTTTCATTTCCTCTGCCCCCCCATTTCCTTTCCCTTCTCTTCCCTTTCATTTACCTTTCTTTTCCTTTCTCTTTTCTTTTCCTTCCCTTTTATTTCCTTTTCCTTTCCCTTCCTTTTTCCTTTCCCTTCTCTGTCATTTCCTATTCTTTTCCTTTCTCTTCTCTTTTTCACTTTCCCTTCCATTCCTTTCCCTTTCCTTTCCCTTTCTTTTCTTTTCTTTTCCTTTCTCTTCCCTTCCTTTTCACATCGTTTTCTTTCCCCTTCCCTTTTTTCTTCCTATTCCTTTCCCCCTTTCCTTTCTTTTTCCTTTTCTCTTTCCTTCCTTTTTCTTTCCCCCTTTCCTTTGCATTTTCCTTTCCCTCCCTTCACTTTAACTTTATTTTCCCTTTCCCTTTTTCCTTTCTCCTTTCCTTCCTTCCTTCTCTCCCTTCCTCTTTCCTTCTTCTTTCCCACCTTCCTTCCTTCCTTTTCTCTGTCTTTCTTTCCTCCCCCCCCCCCCGTTTCTCTGCCCTCCACCCCCAATGTTTGTTGTAGTCCTCGGTGTACATTTTTGGTTTCCTTGGATTGTCAAGGGGAAAGGGGAATTTCTTAAATTATTATTTATTTATTGACTGAAACCTACCACTATGGGGAGAGTCCTAATGTTTTTGTTTTTGTTTTTTTACAAGAGAGAGAGAAAATAAATAAACGTGCGGGCAGATCTGTTTTGCAGAAGGGACGCTGTGGTCACGCCGTTTGTTCCCAGCTAGCCCCACGCGCCGCGTCCCTTTCCTTCTCCATCCCACCCCGACATTCATGTTTCTGTTTCGGGGATCAGTGCCAATGGGATGATATTCCCAATTGTTTGTGCAAACGCACAGACCAGGACACGCCGATCTCAATGCCTCTCCTCCACACTTCCTGGAGGCCATTGTTTCCTTTTGGGGGGACTACACTGGGAAGCAGGAGTGTGGAAAGGAAACGGGGAGGGGACACCCTGATTTTTTTGGCCTCTCCGTTATTTAGATAGCGAAGCATTAAGTCAAGTCGGGAAAGGGCAGAAAGTTGGCTTCCTGCTGGTTAAAAATTCAATTTCTTTGCACCACATCCCTTCGCATCTCATTGCCAATATGCGCTTTTATTATTGTGTGTACATATTTCCCCATTAATTCAGACCAACAATATTACATAAATAAGTTGAACACATTTTAGCTTTTGAAAAAAAGAAATATCATCCCTGGCTATTATTATTATTATTATTATTATTATTATTATTATTATTATTATTATTATTATATTGTATTGTCGAAGGATGTCATGGCCGGAATCATTAGGTTGTGAGTTTTCCGGGCTGTATGGCCATGTTCCAGAAGCATTCTCTCCTGACGTTTCGCCCACAACTATGGCAGGCATCCTCAGAGGTTGTGAGGTCACATCCTCTGAGGATGCCAGCCATAGATGCAGGCGAAAGTTCAGGAGAGAATGCTTCTGGAACATGGCCAGACAGCCCGGGAAACGCACAACAACCCAGTGATTGAATTAATAATAATAACAACAATAATAAAATAAAATAAAAATTATTATTAATAATATTTATTAATAATTATTAATAGTTGTTAATAATAATAATCTTATTATTTAGACCTGCTTCTGGGGTTATTTTGGGCACTGAAAATTGCATTGAATAGACCACATCAGTTCTAGTTTCTTAGATATGTCCATTATGGGTTTCTACTGGCAAGCAGATGGCAACTAGTAGATGGCATATGTTCTGTATCTCAAAAACTAGAGCTGAGAGGAGAAAACCAGTGCCATTTTGGGAACCAGCAGGCCAAATATACCCAGGAACAGGGCTTACATTAGAGACACCAAGATATCTATTGGCTAGTGTTGTGACAAGAGGCTTTGCAAACCCGTAGATCCCTTCGTTCTTCTATGTTAGTTTTGTCCTGGACAGAAATGGGTGTTGTGCTGAAAGGTTAATCTTGGAGGAAAGGGGGGAACATCATTTATTTTGTCCTGGAAGGCTTTCATGGCTGGAATCACTGGGTTGTTGTGAGTTTTCCGGGCTGTCTGGCCATGATCCAGAAGCATTCTCTCTTGACGTTTTGCCTACATCTATGGCAGGCATCCTCAGATGTTGAGGGGTCTGTGGGAAACTAGGCAAGTGGAGTTTATATATCTGTGGGATGATTTATTCATAATTTATTTTTTAGATACTCTGTTAGAATGGACGGGCCTCATGCCATGGACAGGTATAATAATAATAATAATAATAATAATAATAATAATAATAATAATAGGCCTCCCTATTTCAAATAGTAAAATTATGATTTTGAAAGGAAGGCAGACAATGCTGAGTCAATGCTGCACATGATCCTTCAGAAAAGGAGATTCGGTAGGAAAAGGGTGTAGGATGGTTCCTAAACTGGATCTACACTACCATATAATGCAGTTTGAACTTCATAATATGGCCAGTTTAGACCCCTATAATGGAGTTCAGTTGTATGGCAGTGTAGATCCAGTCACAAAGAGGACAAGAAAGGTCTGATCCGGGTTGGCTTAGTATGGATTTCTAAGGATATATATGGAATCATCTGCACAGGTGAAACGGGTTTGAAACTGCATTAAATGGTCAGTGCAGATGTGCTCGATGTGGCTCTGGTGGGCTTTAAACTCAAAGAGTCCCGCAGTTGGAGGCAAAGCATCTTCTCCTGGGACCTTCTCCAACTTAAGGATTTTGGGACAGGGCTGATCTTTCGCCAAAGAGGGTTGGACTTGACACCAATCCTGGGTTAATCTAGGTGCAATGTCCTCCCTCCTCGCTTGCCAACTCCTGTCAACCCGAGTTAGGTCCATTTCTGTGCCTCAGAGCTCAGTCAGGTTTTTCTCCCTGCTAAGCCAAGGTTTCAGTTTGTTGGGAAACCACAGCCCCCTAAATCCATTAGGAAAAAAATGGCCGATTGAGGGCCCTTCCACACAGACCTATATCCCAGAATATCAAAGCAGAAAATCCCACATTATCTGAGTGTGGACTCAGGGCTCTTCCCTGTATCCCAGAATATCAAGGCAATAAATCCTACATTATCTGAGTGTGGACTCAGATAACCCAGTTCAAAAAAGATATTGTGGGATTTTCTGTCTTCATATACTGGGATATAGGGCTGTGTGGAAGGGCCCTGGCATAAATAAAGCAGGAAGGAATAGGGTATCCCTGAGCAGATCCGAGAACTGATGAACCAAACTCATCCTGAATCCTATACTTCATTCCTCCCCTTTGTCCTATCTCACTGGTCGTTTAATACAGTCTCCAAACGTGATTTCTCTGTGGATCTAAGCTGCAGTATATTGGAGTGTGAACTGTATTTTATGGTCAGTGATATAATGCAGTTGGAACTGCATTGAACTGCACTATTTGGCTCTACACTGACTATAAAATGCAGTCCAAACGGCATTCTATCACTGACCATGAAATACAGTTCCCTTCCACACAGCTGAATCAAATCCCACGTTATCTGCTTTGAATTGGATTATATGGCAGTGTGGGCTCAGAAAACCCAGTTCAAACCAGATCTTGTGGGATTTTCTGCCTTGATATTCTGCGATATAGGGCTGTGTGGAAGGGCTCTTTGTTGACTGGTCCACGTAGTTTGAAGCTGCTCTGTATTATTACTATTACTATTATTATTTAATGGAATTATTAATATAATATAATGTAATATAATAATACAAGGTTAAACCCTTGTGCCGGCAGGACTGAAGGCCAACAGGTCAGAGGCTGGAATCCGGCGAAAGTACGGAGGAGCTCCCTCTGTCAGCTCCAGCTCCCCGTGCGGGAACATGAGAGAGACCTCCCAGACAAAACATCCAGGAGTCTCCTGGGTAATGTCCTTGCAGATGGCCAATTCTCTCACACCAGGAACACAAGGTGTTCCTGACACGAAAAATTATGATGATGGTGATGATTATATAATGCAATTATTAATATAATATAATATAATATAATATAATATAATATAATATAATATAATATAATATAATATAATATAATATAATATAATATAATATAATATAATATAATATAATATAATATAATATAATATAATAATACAAGGTTAAACCCTTGTGCCGGCAGGACTGAAGGCCAACAGGTCAGAGGTTCGAATCCGGGGAGAGTACGGATGAGCTCCCTCTGTCAGCTCCAGTTCCCCATGCGAGAACATGAGAGAAGCCTCCCACACAAAACATCCAGGGGTCTCATGGGTAATGTCCCTGTAGATGGCCAATTCTCTCACACCAGAAGTGCAAGTCACTCCTGACACGAAACATTATTATTATTATTATTATTATTATTATTATTATTATTATTATTATTATTATTATTATTAGAATGATCAGTGTAGATGGATCCCTTGTCCAATCTTTGAAAGCTACTTGTTTGGAGAACTTTTTTTAAATGGTTCGTTTGGAACCAGAGAAAACCTCCGCGTCTCCTTGTGGAGAGAAACAACAGGGTATTATTATTATTATTATTATTATTATTATTATTATTATTATTATTATTATTATTATTAATGTGTCACTAGATCCAGACCTATACACTCTTTGCCCAATCTAAGGTGTT